AGTATTTTCTGGCCAATCCGTATTTACAGGTACACATATGTACCCAGAATGACCCTCTCCAGTTTTCTGTAGTTCTTGAGAAATACCACATTGTTATTTTTAGTGCCTAGTGTTGTCCCATTTGGAATGCACACTTCTGGAAAGACAGGGTACAGAAGGCTGATCTTACTTCTTGTTAAGTCACAGGAGCAGCAGATGAGTGAGCAAAGGCTTCTAGTTGTACTCTTTGCTCTACTCCTTGTTGAACGGGCGATAGGATGAGGGGAAATGGCCTCAAGTTGCGCCAGGGCAGATTTAGGTTAGACATTAGGAATTTTTTTTTCACCGACAGGGTTGTCAAACATTGGAACGAGCTGCCGAAGGAAGTGGTGGAGTCCCCATCCCTGGAGGTATTTAAAAGACAGGTAGAGGAGGTGCTTAGGGACCTGGTTTAGTGGTGGAATGGCAGGGTTAGGTTAACGGTTGGACTTGATGATCTTAAAGGTCTTGCAACCTAAACGATTCTGTGATTATAAATTCTGTTAAATTTTCATTCGTATCTGTAACACTAATTCTAACACTACCCTTTCTAAAATGAGCCAGTTTCCGTTAAGTTAAATGAAAGGTTAATAGAGTTAACAGAACACACATGTAAAAAATGTATTATTCTCTATACGACTTCAAATTTGAGTATACTAAGCTGGACAGTCGAGTTAAAAGAAACTTGATTGCTATCAGTCTAAAAACTAAACTTTTTTAAGGGGTAATTTTAATAAAAGATATTTATGAGTTATGAAAGCAATGCAGATTTTTCACTGCTAATACAACCAATCCTGTGTTTGCTGATCAGTACGCTACTGATTAGTAAATATAATCTACCAAATAATCTGTCAAAAGAATGTTTCCTCCCCAAAGTTAAATGCTTCAGACCAGTCAAGTGTTTTTAATATTATTAAGTGCTATTAGCTGATGGTCTCACCTGTTGTCACAGCCCGTTTTACTCCTGGCAACAGTTGAAGCTGCAACAGGTAAGCCAGGGTTTGAGGAAATGGTAACATTTTCAAAAGCGACGCTTGCACTGCTACTCAGTGAATGGCCCAAGAAGCTTGGAAATGTCTCATCGGCAATATTTCTGAAGTCTTCCATCATCCTGCACAAGTTGCTCAAAATAGCACTCTGCCTGGCAACACGATCAGCCCTGGTCCAGCAGCATCTGAAAGCAGGAACAAAAGAGCTATACAGTCATGCAAGTCACAGTAATGCCGTCAAAAACACGTTACTTATACATCGCGGCCAATATTCTTTGGCAACCACCCCATTCCACCCACAAACACGGTTAAAAATTATTTCCAGTCCTCTCCCCACCCCCAGCCCCCAAACCTTTTGGGAGCCACAGAGTTTTATAGCGCCTCGGACTTTCTAAAAAGAGCAGCACTCCTGCAAGTTAGAGCACCGACGCTGCAAGACGTGCCAACCTATATTTAGCCTGCAAAGCCGCTCGGACCCAGCCAGCCTTCCTCCATTTCCACAGCAGCGAGCACCTGGGGAGCTACCAACTCCGTGACGCGATCATCTCGGGCCGCTACTCGGCAGGCTGCAGCCTAACGCCACTCATCTCAACGCGGAAGGCCTGGGCTCTACCCCCCTCAGC